CTGGCAAACGTTTGGAAAATGTTCTTACCCTTATAACCCCACCCTGTGAACTATCTCCTACCTTCTCTCCCTCTCCCCACACCCCCCTCCTATTTATCTATCTATTTATCTATCTATCTCTATATATATATACATATATATATACATACACACACACACACACACACACACACACACACATATATATTATTTTTTTTCTTTATTTTTTCCCAAATATGTAAGTATTGATAACGTTAGACACTGTATATCTCATTTCAGTATTAAAAAGGAAATATCACGGGAACAAAGGCAACGCACATGCGAGGGAGAACAGGTGTCACGAAACAACAGGTGTTCGTCATCGTCAGCCTCTTCTTCGCCTCGTTGCGGGAGTGACACGTGGGTTTGGACAGCAGGCTCTTGCTGGCGAGGCAGAGAAAGTGTTCATCAGAACGTAAGACATCATCTGTTTAAGGTTCGTCCTCTGAAGTAAAGTGTACACACACATATACAATCGCACAGAAACGGTTACCGTGAAAATGGAAGAAAACAGTGTTCGTACGGTGTAACTTATCTGTAGTAAAAAAAAAAACGTACCAATTCTTCGTGGAACTTATCTGTAGTAAAAAAAAAAAATCGATATATGTACTCGTTATAGTGTTCCTATTTGTGTTCACAAGCGACAGCAGCGAGTGTGAGTACATACTTCTCAGATTTTGTGTGCAGACAACAATAGATACATGCATAACGGTAATACACCATTACAACTTCTCTGTCTGTTAATGTGTTGCAGTGGTAGCGATCTCATCTAACAATCGCTGTCTGTTCAAATCCCGTATTGTCAGTGAATGGTAACCCCGGCAGTGAGTAATTTAAAAATACACTAAACAGACAGCCGCACTTAAGTGGTCACAAATACCTGTCACCAAGATATTGTTATAATTCTTGTTAGTATTGTTATCATTATTATTATTATCGATCATTATTTATCGTCGTTATTGTTATTATCATCGTTATTATTAATATTATCATTGTTACTATTATCATTATCATCGTTATTATTAATATTATCATCATTATTATTATCATTATCATCGTCATTATTACCATCGTTATCATTAATAGTAGTAGTAGCATCAGCACTCTAATTAATATCATTATCATCATCATTATCATTAATAGTACTAGTAGCATCAGCACTGTTAATCAATATTATTATTATCGTTGTATATCGCGACTGTATAAATGCCAAGCATACAGTGTATTAATTCCATACCAGCCAAGATCTTTATGATTAATAGACCTAGATCAGTCCTTGTAAAATATCCCCGGCGAAGTTGAATTTAACGTAGTCTCCCCCTCCACCTGTGGATGATCTCACAGAAAACGAGGCGACATTTACAAGTTGGCAAATTTCAGTTGTAAATGAATTCAGTTGACTGAGGGAGCCAGCCATGGACTAAATATGGCATAGACCGAGATAAAAAAGATGAATAAAACGAGTGAACTTTACTGGATTAAAAGAAATCCAAGATGAAGGGAAGGATATAGGGATCAAGCGATTAGAGACGAAATACCACACACGCGCATAAAACAACAACAACAAAAACAAAAAAACACAGACACACACTTTAAAGCAACAAGGTGTGATTAGATGTGATTATTATTTGACCTTCAAAGTAGAGTGAATTTAGATGAAGGTAAACAAAAGCTATCAACATAAACGCAGTATAGGAATATTACACACAAACAGACGCCCACACACAAAGTCACACACACGCAAATATGCGTATGTATATATACATATATCTGTACACACACACACACACACACACACACACACACACACACACACACACACACACACACACACACACACACACACACACACACACACAACACACACACACACACACACACACACACACACACACACACACACACACACATATATATATATATATATATATATATATATATATATATATATATATATATATAAATAGGGATACGCACACACATACGCACACCACAACCACATACATATAATATATATATATATATATATATATATATATATATATATATATATATATATATATATATATATATGTGTGTGTGTGTGTGTGTGTGTGTGGTGTGTGTGTGTGTGTGTGTGTTGTGTGTGTGTGTGTGTGTGTGTGTGTGTGTGTGTGTGTGTGTGTGTGTGTGTGTGTGTGTGTGTGTGTGTGTGTGTGTGTGTGTGGTGCGTGTGTGCGTGCGTGCGTGCGTGCGTGCGTGGTGCGCGTGCGTGCGTGCGTGCGTGTGTGTGTATGTATGTATATGTACAAACATAATATTATATTATATATTATTATATATATATACATATTATGTATATATGTATACATATTATGTATATATATTATACATATATATATAATATATATAAATATATATATATATATATATATATATATATATATATATATGTATATGTGTGTGTGTGATGTATATGTGTGTGTGTATGTGTGTGTGTGTG